TCCAGACGCAAGACTATCGTCTTGTGACGACATTTGCGGTGTAACATGCAGATACGGGGCCAATTTTTCGGCTCGACATCGTCGGTCCGCAGCCCTTTGTTGGGATAACTGTTGCTTTGTTTTTTAGTGGAAGTTGTGTGTAGCGGATCCACCCCATTTCTGTGGCACATGCCCATTGTTCATAGTGACAGATTTGTGACAGGAGGAGGAGGAAGCAACAAAAGGGAGAAGGCAGAGAGGTTAACCTGAAAGACGTCCGGTTGGCTACCCTACACTGGCGACGCAAATTGCTGTGTGAGATACCCGGTAGTTTGGCTGTGTGTTGCCTTGATTGATTGATATGTGGGGTTTAACGTCCCAAAACCACTATATGATTATGAGAGACGCCGTAGTGGAGGGCTACGGAAATTTAGACCACCTGGGGTTCTTTAACGTGCACCCAAATCTGAGCACACGGGCCTACAACATTTCCGCCTCCATCGGAAATGCAGCCGCCGCAGCCGGAATTCGAACCCGCGCCCTGCGGGTCAGCAGCCGAGTACCTTAGCCACTAGACCACTGCGGCGAGGCTGTGTGTTGCCTTCCTTATATTCAGTGGACCTGTGGTGAATTGTGGAACCTACCCACTTACTTCAGTGCATACCCGTTCATGATGATGGTAGATATTTTGTACGGGGTAAATAAGGAGCTGCACCATCAAAAATGTTGGTCTACGAAGACTACTTGTTCGAATACAACGTATCCAACTGACTTTCATTATAGTCATACCCTTGAAAGCGTAATATTTTACCCGTCCCTTGGTGTTCGCCTAACGACAGCCCTGACTGAGGATCGCCAGCAGAACGCATTACATCCTATGGAAAACAACACTTAGTTACTTTCGAAGTAGCTTCTTTTTTACTCCATAATCAAAAACATTTTAATATACTATGGACGTGCAGCCACGAATGAAATTATTTTTATGTGTATGAGAGTCAAGGCTCTTCATATCAACAACCATGTTGGAATCCACGAAAAATCATGCACCTCGGTTCATTTCGTCTAACTATAACCGTTCAGTTAGCATCGCCGAAATGGGAGAAACTTTAAACCTCGTTTCACGAACTAGATCATCACTCTAAGCATGGTTTTCTGCTAATTAAACCACTACCGTTCATTTCTCTGCACTGAAATTTTCAACGAAAAAGCCTCACTCTCGCGTTGCACCACAAAATTTATGCTCAATCGTATTTTTCATTGGAACAGGATGTTGAAGGTTGCAGATAGGTTCTAGCTTTGCAAATTGGACAGAAAGCAAAACGCCCCTACAATGATTGGTTTGTTGTTTGTTTCTTAGAGTCCTGGAGAATTCCACAGAGGGGTGATTAGCCATGAAATGAATGGCACCTTATTTTAGAGATAAAATTGATATACGAGGTGGATACAATGAGATATGAATCATTTAAAAATAAACACAATAGCAAAACTAGAATTTTAAATAAAATAAAAAAGGTAAAAAATATGAGCACCGAACAAGCTAACAGGATTGAAACAAAAATTAATTGATGCATACGCTTAACATTCTATTCGCTGGGCCCGCTGCTCTTATTCTAACTTCGTTCTTAAGTTTTTCTAACCAAGAGAGCGCCCGTTCCCGAACACCGCTTTGTCTTCATTACATGATTTATGCAGGCGATTGCTCCACCCTGTTTCCTCTGAAAACATAATAATAGCTGAGAGAACGTGTAATTAATGAAATTCTCTGTCTGAATCATCACAAAGCATCACGAAATGTATAAAATTTCAGAAATCCCACTAAAAAATCGCCAGGCCTGCGCGGTAGGCACAGCACAGTCACAGCAAAAGCTAGAAAAGTGGACTTTCAGAGCCTTTTCAAAAAAACTCATTGGGTAACTACTGCAAGCGTACTTGCTTGGTACCTACAAGGCATGAATAATAAACTTTTGCGAAGTAGGCCGGCATTCTCTATGCTAGTTTTCGTCATTCTTCTGAGACGCGGGGTATCGGATCGCTAAGCACTTGCAATGAATTTTGTGCGAATTGTCCGTGCAGAGGCTGATGACGATGAGAAATTATGGCTGAAGTGGGTATGCGTCACAGTTACTAGGAAAAGAAGAACAACCTTTTGTAATCAGTTGGAGCATTATACGGCCCACTCGTTACGCTAATCGCATTGTTCTTTCGCAGTTGTAAAACGCCTTATAGGTCGCATTAACTCGAATGCTTTCCCGACATGAAGCCTGCCAAAGGCAAGTTTGACAACATCTAACAAGCACCGAAGGAGCTCAGTGCTATAATTCTGGGATGGCACCTAGTGCACCCGGGTTCAAGCCCCACTATGTCATTGGTGCAAGGTTTTTTTTTTTTCTAATTTCGCACAATGTGGTTACGGACACCGGTGGCGGTGGCGGCGGTGGCGGTGGTGGACAACATACAACTGCGCGTGACCCGAGTTGTGATCTATTAACAGCTTTCCCTGTAGAACTGATTACTTAATTGCTCCTTTCATGCTGTGATCAAGAACTGTGTTATTTCGCTTGTTTTTTCACGGCTTGATAACATTCTTTTCCTGGTTTGCTTTAGTGTGTTGTTAGCAAGTTGTTAGGAGTAGTGACCGTTGCGACTCAAATAATGTTTTCTAGGCAATATATTTTGCGTACGTTTTTTTTTTTTGCCGTTGTTAATTTCCCAGTCCTTCTGAAATTCAATTTCTGTCCTGCTGTTAAAACAAAGAACAAAACATAAATATGTATCATTATTACATTTTTGAAGCATTGCAAAAAGGGTTATAGGCGTTATTTATCGGTAACCTGCTTTTGTTAATCGGCTAACACTCGAATTCTTTTGAGGCCGCAAATACCTACGTCTTCCATTTGCATTCGTATAAGTTCTCTGCTTGAACGGAATGATGGAAACCATGCTTAAAATCCCGTGACCTGGCTGAATTGAAGTGTATTCCGAAAGATCTAATCTCTTTGTAACGAACATTTCTTCCAACAATAATGAAAGTAGGCCGCCGGAAATAAATTCCTCACTGAAAAAGCTACTGCCCTCACTTGCACATCAACTTTTCCTCGTTTCGTGCACTCGACGGCCTGAAACGCTGTTTCATCGTCGATCATCAATCTTCACCTTCGCCTTGAGCGAACTTGATGAAGAATGAACGAATGAGCGTGTGCAAGGATGGTTTCATTGCGGTTTACGGAGTACTGGCCGAGCATGGCGTATATGGGTTAACGAAGCTTTAGCACAGCATTTTCTCAATGTCTCTCATGATATCTTAAAAAAACGCACGAGATTTATTTGTCCAAAATCCTGTTTTCTTATGCTGTAATCACATTTACCTGTAATGGAATTTACGTGCATATTTAGGGTCAGCACTGCCAACATAAATAAGTCATGACGAAATGGCGTTTGACCAGAATCAATGCGTATTTTCACTAACCTCTACAGCTGAGCACATTCCAACCGAAAGATGCAAGAGGAAGTTCGAGACTAGCGAAGTAGAGGATGAGGAAGTGGATTGTGAGCACTAATAATTGCTCATTAGTTAAGTCATTGCCCGTAATGTATAACAGCAGGGGGTTTTCATGCTTGCCTGGTTTCACGAACACATAATTTCAGCGCACGAAAAAAAGGCATCATATGATGTCATATATACAGTCCTCGATGGCAAACAGTTTCCATCTAGAACGGCTCTTGCAAAAAAAAATAAATAAAAACATAAGACATGTCTTCCACAAGGAAATTCCACTATCTTCAATCAGTGGCCCAGTCACTTTGTTATGCATGGCAACGTTTATTCCTTGAGGAATTGAGAATTTCGTTCGGTATAGGTAGATAACGATGAAGCTCTGCTACACAACATCGTTTTCGTATGAAAGTGTTACTGAGTGGCGGGTGAATTTGAAAGTCAATGATTCTGATTATTTCGCTCATGGTGGTTTTCCTAGTTCACCGACGGTATAATGAGGCTTGTAAGGCTGCCCGATAAAGTGCCAAATTACGCTCAAAATGTCCTATTTGAACGGCTTGACCATATTTACCACAGCGGCGTTCTTTATTCAAACCATTCATAATTACGTGCGATGTGCGTAATATGTTTGTTTTTTGGTCTACTAAACAGTCGAATATGATTATCATACATGTTTAACAGCTTATTATTTTATTCTGCAGTTACAACCTTTTATTTGCTGTTTTTTTTTGTTTATCTTAAATAGCACTGCCCCCAGAAGCGTTTGCTTCATCAGGTATCGCCTTTTTTTTTTCAAGTGATTTTCTTTTTATGTATCAGCTTTCTTTTTCAGTAGTGATAGCTATAAAAAATTGTGTATTGCCTAAGTTATTCATTTTGCTAGTTCTAGCGAAACCGTCTTCTCTCACGGCTATACTTTTTGTAAGAACAAAAGTACCTCTACAAACTAGGCCTTACCCGAACACTGACTGAGAATGAAAACGAGATTTCTGATACGTCTTGCGATTTGAAACAGACTCCGTTGGTTTCCACTAAGGTTTACCAGTGCTACTTTAACACTATTAAGCTTACCTAAACCTACGATTGAGCTTTGTGCCTACGGTTCAGGGGTGGTAACTTGCAGGAAAAGAAACGTTCAACTCTTTTTTTTTTTCCTCCAAGTAGCCTGTATGCGGCCTAATGTTCCGACCACATCTAAGAAGCATCTCATATAGCACAGGCCACAATATTAGTAAGCGAAGTTTTTATGACCTGTGGTGATCGTTTCAACGCTTTACCGTCTCCCAAGAGAACGAGCATCCGTAAAACTGCATTCTGTGTTGTGATCAGCAACATCTGTGCCCGTGTACCTTGGTCAACCACTTGTCGCATGTAAATGGCCCTCGAAGTGGGCATCACAGCAGCTCTTGTGTTATATTATTTTTCTTTCATCATAGGCCACACATGATTTCTATGCGCAAACATAGAGTTTTCCCGGCTATTGACAGCGCCTGTATACAGATATATTTATAATCAACGCACTCACCTGTGGCGACAAAGCTTATTGCCAGCAGTAGACTAGCAGCAGGCGTCACTCTCCGCTGCCCCGCCATGTCTTTGTCGACCTCAGAAGGACCGACGACAGTGGCACAATTTTCTCTCCGCGAGATCCCACAATCTTGTCCAACAAAATCCACTCGTGACACGATCCACCGCACCCGTCTACTTCACGGCCAATCTCATCTGGCTGTCCTGCGACGCGCGTGTTTTCAAAAGCCGTCTAATCTTCCATCTTCTCAGCCCGGCTACCACGGGGCCCCATCTGAGCAGTTTTGCGTTCACTTCGTGTGACACAGAGTCTCAAGTGTTTCAATGGGCAGGCACTCCATATATCCCACTTGATCCACAGGCTTTTTTTTTGAAAGGCTTGATACCCTACTCCATTTTTTTTCTTTCCTTGATACTTCAGTAGTTCGAAAGTTCACTGGTCACGAACACACACATACACAAGAAATCACAAGGGCGATCAGCGGCACATAACAACGTTTATGTTTAATCAGCTTCGCGGTGAGAAAATCTATATTCATATAAGAATTTATGCGTTTAGCACATCTTGTTTTAAAGCAAGTTCAGTTCTGTCTCTCTTAGGTGGCAGCTTCAGGCTGCCTCAGAAGATGCAGCTTGTGGCAGAGCACGCAAAGTGTGTCGTTCTCTTCTAAAATCACCGGTCTCTAACGGGACGTCTCTACACGGCTCAAATCTTCAAAGGACACTTACGCCCCAAGACACACTCGATCCTAGTGAGTCATCACCATTTCGCCGCACATGAGAATATCAGAAACGACTTTACGTTACAAAACATGGTGTATACCACGCAAACTACAGAACTGAAGATCTAAGCCGAGTGTCTGTTATGTTATGCAGAATCCTAAGGAGCTAACACGAGCGCGAGCACTTGGAAGACTACGCGTCCACTGGACGATGCACGTTTGACGGCACTCATGGGCCGATCACCAAACTCGCTGTCCCTGTCAGCAACGCGAGCAGCGCAAGCAGATCATCCTCGGCTCTCTGCGGCGTCTATAGTGGGCGTACGGCAGCGCTGGCACCAATGAATGTGCGTATCTTCTTCAACAACCAACGTAGCCACAAACCCCGCGCCGCACGACGGGACAAAGCCGCGCGCGCGCGACTCCCCACGGGGTCGAAAGTGCCGAGAGGAGAGCGCTCGAGCCGTGGGCCGTTCTGACTGCTTGCTCTCGGGGTTCGGCCCGGGCCCTCGACTCGATGAAGACTCCGGGGCCCGAACGACAGCGACCACGTGCCCTGATGCGACAGCAACGCCACCAGCGGCAACGCCAGAAACTGCACCGTTGCCGCCGCTGAACTGAACCTGGGGCATCCCCACCCCCCTCTCCGTCGCCCCCGCCTTCGCGCCTCTCGCCCACATCGCTACTCTGCGCTGGAGCCAAGAGGCGCGAGCGCGCTCGCGATGTTTTAGCGCGAAACGAGCGATAGAGAGAGAAAGAGTTGCGCAGTCCTAAAAACGGAGAATTCGCTCTCCCGCACGCATCGAGAGATCTGTTTGGTCGATACCATCGCCGCCGAATATTACATCCGCCCTTTCTTTTATACTCAATATTTACTCCTTTTGTCTTGTCCTCCAGTACATTCTAAGCCTACGGATGTTTGCAATTTTTTTTATTTTTCGCTTAGTTTCGAGCCGCTTACAATGTATGTGCTTAGAAAAAAAAATTGACGATTTCTAGTACTTCGTAATCAACTATGGGAGAGCACTGAGCCGTCCCGCTAAAAGAACGCGAAGTAAATGCTAGACTGTTTGAGAAATCATGGTAGATGTGTTCGGCTTAGCAATAACGCTTTCTCTGCAGTCAATACCGCTTTTTTACCCCCCTTCCCTCCCTCCTACCCTTTTCTTTACGTCGCTTTATTATACGTTGTTTAAACATGGGTCGGTCGGACGACATTTAGACTCTGCGTGAGTTTCGCTGCTCTGTCTTTTGTTTGTTTTTGTTTGCGTGGCTGGTCATAGTCCATGCAGGTTAGTTTTTCTTTATTTTCACTGAAGCTCTGCGCACGCTATTACAAGGGAGCATGCTACCAGTGTCCTTCTACTGATGTATGACTATTAACGTGGCGTTTTATGACTTTAGTCTTTTGTGAGTCATCTGTGCATGTGCATATGCATGTTTTAACAGCAGGGTTGTTTCAGATTGGCCAAACTCCGGCATCACCCGTGCAGAAAAAAAATTAGGCGATGCTTAAGCTCGTCCTTAGTGGTTGAACGTGATAGCAATATCCTGTGCCAAGTTGGTCGGTTGGTTCCTCAACACCTTGGCTCAATTCACCTAAGGGAATAGGTCATGAATGGAACGGTGCGTTGCTTTTTAGATTAATTCACTTTTTAAAAGGGAGGGTTGGACTAATTAGGTAGTATAGGTAATAATGTAAAAGTGTTAGATTTCTAAACAGACAAAACCCTTGACAAGATAAACATAACAAACACACACAAAAAAGAAAAAAATCTATACATAAAACAACTGAAGTTATCTATTTTAGCATTTCATTCTTTTAGATTTTGGTAAGAAATTTGTAACAGCGGTAAAAACGCTCCTGTGGCCGAAACCAAATGCGACTGCAAGTGGGTACTTGAAACACCTGCTGCATAAAATCTTTTCGAACTTGCCATGCACCCACTATATGGTCTTAAGGGAATACGTTAGTTACGTGTGTGCCTATTGTAGTGGGTGACCAGCTTTAAATCATGAAGTCATCATTAGAATCACATGTTCTGATGCGCGATCATAATGTGCGCTAGTACCACGCAATATTGCTGCAATATTTTATGTTACGTTGTAAAGCAAGTGTAGAGGACCCATGTGTTTGTAAAGCGTGCAAGTTATTTTTCCACTGCATTTCCAAGAAGAGGAAGTCATTTCAACTGCATTGCCAAGCGGGCGCATTGCTGTGTGGTAGAACACGTGCTATCTGTGCAAACTACTCGTGTTCGATTCCAACTGGGAACCACAATTCCTTAAGATTTATATTATTTGCATCTTTCAATTTTCAGGTCACGCACATTTTTCGCTCACAACCAATGGCGCTAACGACGACACCAACGCCGTACATTCTGCGAAATGAGCTATTTAACGCTATCGCATAGAGGAACATACTTACCTAGTATGTTTCTCTATGGCTATCGCGGTAAAACTGGACAGGTATGCGCCGCAGGAAGCGTGTATGTCCCAAGCAGCTACTAGCATAGCATAGCAAAGGGGTTGAAAAAGGAAGGGCTGGTGAAAAGGAAGAAAACAAGCAGGAGAGAGGGCGTACCCTTGTAGGGTGCGTTTTGACGAAAGGGATGGTAAAAGAAAAAATGAGGAGGAGTTATCATGAGGTGCACACGAGGAAAATGAGAAAAAAGCAGAGCTGAGAGGAGAAGCCAAGGGATCACCATGTACCGTATATCATAGCAACTGATAAGAAAGAAAAGCTTGGGCCAAGCAGTTCTTCGCATAGCATAACCTCGCATTGTATAGTATACGAAAGGAGGTAGGAAACGAAACTGAGGGTGAGGAGGGATAACACGATGATGACGAGGAGGGGAGGGTACACCATGACATAGCCTTGCATAGTGCATCATAGCAATAAGGTGGGAAAACGAATGATGGTGAGGAGAAGTGACCTGCGCATGAGGAGAGACGGGAGGAAGAGAGACGGTAAAACACAACAAAGCCATGTATAAGGTAATATAGCATAGACAGAGCTGCAAAAGACAAGAGAGGCTGAGGAGGAAGAGGGCAGAAAGGAGACGGAGAAAGGGTAAAGCAAGTAAAGCATAGTATGCATAGCCACGTATAGTGTAGCAAAGGAGAGGGGGAGAGAAGTGATGGTCATAAGTAAGGAAAGCATTTTGCCAATCCTCGGATCAGCAAATGTTCGGCTAGGACAAATATGTCCAAGAAATCTGGGGTTCACGTCAGAATCGAACCCGGGCTGTCTCTTTGGCAAATGGCTGTTGTACCATAGAGCACGGGCATGAGCTCTATGGTAGCCTTGGTAGGTGACGCCTAAAGCCCATGACAGTGTGCGGCAAGTCTCTGTAGCTCCCCTCACACTTAACTTATCCTAAATTGTTTGCCCTGAATTATTCGTGAAGTAATAGACTTTTTTAATGAACCTATCCTATGGTTACTTGGAAAGCTGTTGCAAGGGTCCCTCAAGTTTACCTGTCGCTTGAAAATAACAAATATCAAGCTTTGGTTCGATTGCTCACCGTTACAGTGCGAAGCTCCTTTTAGTACTGACTTTTTTTTTCTTTTTTGGGGTGGAGGGGGAGGGCTGACCACCAAAACTTTATTTATGTATTTACTGCGACAGATGTTAGTTATGTTGCTTTTTGATACCTTGTCTCACTTCGGCTTCAATTTCACTCTTCAATATAACCTAATCACCAAGATGAGCTTATTAGACAAGTCGATTATAAACGATCGCCTACATCTTGGACGTCAAGCTGCAGTTTCAAAAAATTTAAATAAAAAAGGGGAAGGTCTGTGGAGAATGTCAAAAATACACGATGGGATAATAAATGAAATGCTACTATGCAAAGGGTATTTGTCATGCGTGGATCGCAAAATGGCACATGGTACCTGCTGCCGCTTCTTGCAATGAACACGTTGCAAACTTAAGCACACTTTTTTGTACGTCCAACAAAGCTTTATATTATTCTTCTGCTGTCGCTTCTTGCAATAGACACGTTGCAAACTTATGCAATTTTTTGTATGTCCAACAAAGCTTTATATTATTCTACGGAGACAAGCTTCACTTTCTGTCGTGACACATTCTCTTAAAAATTTCCCTTACCGTGCCGCAGCTGATTTCTCGTTTCTGTGAGACGGGATATGTGAGTCCCAGATATATATAGTTCCCAGTGAGTCAACCTTCCATGGTGGGTAGTGTAACCACTGCTGCAAACTCAAGCAGAATTCACGTTAGTCCCAATCGCATTCAAAATGTCGTGGAGACAGCCACAGAATCAGGGTGAATAATCAGAGAGGAAGTATTTTCTATGCCTGTCGTTGACGCGCGAAAC